GAGGGCTGAGGCGGCGGGATTGCTCGGGGTCAGGAGTTTGAAACCAGCCTGAGCAAAAGCGAGGCCCCCGTCTCTACTATAAATAGAAAGAAATTAATTGGTCAACTGATATATATAGAAAAAATTAGCCGGGCATGGTGGCGCATGCCTGTAGTCCCAGCTACTTGGGAGGCTGAGGCAGCTGGATTGCTTAAGCCCAGGAGTCTGAGGTTGCTGTGAGCCAGGCTGATGCCATGGCACTCACTCTAGCCTGGGCAACAAAGTGAGACTGTCTCAAAAAAATAAAAAAATAAAAAAGATAAAACCATATTGTGGTTCACAGATGGATGTTATTATAATTCATAGAACACTGATGTTCTATCAGATAGTGAAGAACATGAAGGAGCAAAGGCTCTGTGTTAACAGGAAATAAAACCAACTTCTAGATGCACTGTCCTTTAAAAGCATTATTAGTCCACCCTAGACACCACTCTAAACGAACTTCAGTGCACTGGAGAAAAACATGTCTGGGGGCAAGGTGTCACTCCTGTAAGCCAAATTACCATCAGAAGATGGTTTTAGAATTTGGTCCATGGACTGTCAGGATTTCTAAGTTCTAGTCTCACTGGATAGCAGAAGAGACAGACCTCCAAAGGAGCTGTGAGACAAGATGAGCAGGACATCCTGGGTGGCTTCACAGGTGATTCTGACATGGTGTGCCAGTAGCCCCCTGCCCACAGGAGCCCCTGCCAGTCAGCTGGGGGCAGGTCCTCAGAGAAGACACAGAAGCTGTGGGGCAGATCTTGGGTAGATTCAAGAGAAGCCTCTGTACAGTGTTCTGTGGAAAAGTGGGTGTCAATTAGGGCATCCCTCAGTTCCAGCCAGCGAGAGCTAGAAAGGATTAACCTAAGCATAGTGCTGCTTCTTTCTGGTATTAGATGGCAAGGGCATGCAAGTTCGTCGGCAAATTGGTGTGCCCCTTATGGGTGGAAAAAAACGCGGCGCAATCCTAGCCAGATAATAATAAATTCCAAGTATGTCAAAAATTTAAACCTGAGGAGAAAGAAGGGAAGAGAAGCCATACAAGCTTCTCTTTTTTAAGTACAGAAAACATGGGTAAAAAAGATATATGATCTTGGAACGGAGACTGCCTTGAAAGGAGGATATAAAACTCAGAATCCATTTAAAAAATTGATAAATTTGAAAAAAAATTGACTACACAAAAATGTAAACTTCTGATATGAAAACTACTATATTTTAAGTTTAAAAAAATTGTTAACAGAGAAACTTTCCTTAAACTTCCAAGGAATTTCTAACTAGTAGTAAGAAAAAGAGCACAACTCAAAAGCAAAGGAAATATAAATGGTCAGGAAATACATGAAAGAGTTCAACCTCATTCATAATAAAGGAAATAAATCTAAACCATGCAATACTATTTTTCATTCATAACCCTGGCAAAAACTAAATGATTAGGTAATAGCTGATACCAATAAAGGTATGGAGAGATGGAAGGCAATCGGATAACCTGTCAAGACTTTAGTCACTACACCACAAAGAAGTTCCAGTGCTAGAAATGAATTTGTCCTATGAGTATTATACATAAGGATGTTCACTACAGCATTATTTGGAGGATCAGAAACTGAAAACCTGGCCCGGCGCGGTGGCTCCAAAATTTATTAAGTAGGGTCTTATGGACTTTTAGGTTTTCAGTTTTTTTTTTTTTTTTTTGAGACACAGAGTCTTGATTTGTCGCCCAGGCTAAGTGAGTGCTGTGGCGTCAGCCTAGCTCACAGCAACCTCAAACTCCTGGGCTCAAGCAATCCTTCTGCCTCAGCCTCCCCAGCAGCGTGGACTATAGGCATGCCCACACACGCCGGCTAATTTTTCTTCTATATCAGTTGCCCAATTAATTTCTTTCTATTTATAGTAGAGATGGGGTCTCACTCTTGCTCAGGCTGGTTTTGAACTCCTGACCTTGAGCAATCCGCCCGCCTCGCCTCCCAGAGTGCGTAAGGAATTACAGGCCGGGACGCACCT